CGAAACGCGGAAATTATAGCACAAATAAATATTATACTAGTTAATACTTAATATTATTAAAAAAATAACAATTAAAATAAATTAGTTTAATTATTTGGATGTTTGATATTATGTACATATTTAAAATGGGAGGTAGATCAAAATCTGTTATATTATTAACGCATTTATCACCATGTTCAATTTTACATTTTTTAATTTCAAATTTCTCAAACCAATCTAGTTCTTTCCCTTTGTTCAAACTATGTAACACTCTTGTATTTAGATTTGAACTGAAATTATGTCAAAACGGTCTGCTTTGAAAGAACTGACGAGGGAAGTTATGCTGATTTTTAACACCTGGACGATGATGATCAACTGAAGAAAGTAGCGTTTGCTGTTCTTTCCTTATTTGGGTTTACATATTTATGCGAACAATGATTTTCAAGCATGAACTTTACCAAGAGTTGGTTAAGAAATCGGCTCATTAATGAGAACTTGGAATCGTGCCTAAAATTAAAAACAACATGCAAACCTGACTTACCCCTACTTTCCAGGGAAAATGCATGGCCATTGTTCACATTAGTGGAGTATTTGTAGTTTTTTTAAAGATACCTTTTATATGATTTAACTTGTTATATTTTTAAATAAATATTATCTTTATATAAGAATGATACCAAGTTTTATTTAATGTACCGTTAGTTAAACTAAGACATATTCAGCAAAGGCAAGCTCCAGACTGTACTTTTAATTCTAATTATTTCCATAAAAATGTCTACTAAAGCAAAGGTTAAGTTTAAAAAATGGCTCTTTCAATAAACTTCAATTTTGTATTTTTGATTATATTTGGCTCTTTTGGATTACGGGTTTGCCAAACACTGGTCTAGAGCATTCTGCTATATGATCTCTGCAAACCGTCCGAAGAAACCGCAGGTTCGGGCTTCGAAGGTTGTACAGCTATGTCATCGGCAAAAGTCGCAAGGAGGGTGGTAGGTTTGGTACGAACATCTGCAGTATAAAGGATATAGGGGATTGGACCAACCTGCCATGCAAGGCGCACGCTTTAATTTATACAGGAGGCACCTGGCAGTTAAACGCTTATGCCACATCTAGAAAGGCCATACGATATTCTTTGCGTTCGAGGGAGGAGGATGTACGGTTTACAACGCGAGACATTTGCTGGACTGCAGGGGGCGAAAGCCAAACTGATGATCTGGGAGAAGGTAAAAGGAATTTAATTTATAGTATTTTAAGGAGGATTTTTTCAATTACGTTACTACATGATGTGGAAACAAATAAGTCGAAATGATGATGCTTTTTGAGCTCGTTTGCCACGTTTCAGGAAGAGGAAGACGTTCTAGTATTTCTAGAGTAAGGAAAAATGGGCAGTGTGGAATATACAGTCGTAAAAGTTTTTGAAAAATATAATAGCTTTTTGAGAGAGATTTTTAAGAATTTGGGATGTGATCAGATAAAAACCAGGAGCTTTAATGTTCGACAGGCGTGAAAGGATATAGTAAAAGGTTTCGAAAAATTTGCAAATATTATGGGTTTTTTTAAATTGATTAGTTCATGTTTCTTTTCGAAATAAAATAAAAAATACAGCCAAGAGCAAATGCAACAGCGAATAAAACTAAAAATAAATAAAGTAACACGTCAGTAAAGCTAAGTAATTCTTGACTTACAGGAAGGAGTAACATCGAACTTCCCGTCGGGTATCGCGGACGAGTGGGCAAACCACGATACACTATAAAAAACCGGGGCTGCGTGGGGATTCGAACCCACTATCGCTAGCGTGGCAAGGACGAGTCCGATTGATTCAACGCGGTCCCCTATCTAATAAGTATATGTTTTAGAAATTTTTTTAATAGAAATTTAGTTATTTTTTTATTTGTAATTTATATATATATATATATAAAACAAAAGTAAAAGCGAACAAAACTAAACAAAATTAAAAAGTAAGTAAAGTTAAATAATTCCTCTCTTACAGGAGGGAAATAACGTCAAAATACCCGTCAGGTGTCGCGGACGTGGGGTCAAATTACTTTGCAATACATATTTTTACACCATCTTCAATTGAAAAAAAAACGGGCTACGCCGGGATTCGAACCTAGTACCGCTAGCGTGGCAAATACGAGTTGGACATCCTAACTCTTCGGCCAACGCGATCCCCTAGATAATCAATCTATATTTTAGTTAAAAATTTAAATTTTTTAATTTAACTTAGTTATTGTTATTTAGTTATTTTAACTTTTTTTTCTTTTTAAATGGAGCAACGTACAGTGAAATTATTTCAGCCCCGCTCTATGTTATGACCGAAGGGGTAGATAGGCCCTACGCTGTACATTAATCACACAACCGATAATTAAATTATTTACAAACATATACAAATAAATATACACACAAATTCACATACACGTACAAGTAATATATACAGTATATGTGAGGAAACACCTATGTTTATCTTAAGAAACGGAATTGGGGACTCAACATTCGACTTCAGCCCGAGTATCAACTTTACGTCAGGGATCAAGCTCACTCGCTTCCTATAAGGAGCCAAGGCCACTCTTCGACCGGGGGTGGCACACTGAGTAACCTTTCAGGGGATATTGTAGTTTAAGAAAGGGAAGAAGCATGCACCTGCCAGGTGAAATAATCCAAAAGGCACACACTTGGATTAAGCGTGTTTAGCCAGTCATGAATAATTTATATTATTAATATGAAAATTTAGTGTAAATTACATAAAAGTTGTAATTGGTACTTGAACTTTTGACCTTGATTATAGGAATTCAACATTTTCCATTACAGACCAAATCATAAATAGTTATCCATATAAGGTCCAAAGGGACATTAATTATTTTTAATTATTAATTTTCGCTCGGAGAATAGTGAGAAGCGGTTACCTCGACTGGAAACATGCTCCTTATTTTGAAGAAAACTTTCCGCAACCTGCATGTCTTGAGCGGTCTGTCAACGCGATAAGGTGATAATAACATTAACAGATAAAAAAATATAATTTTTAATTTTACCCCTTCCATCTTTGCAATTTAACAAAATGACTAATGAAAAACAAAGAAGACGACTTTCAGGCTTAAACAGCGCACCATTCAACCGATATTTTGATAATCTAATAAGCACTGTCGATAGGTAGCCCTCAGATCTTACTTACGATGGGTCATTATCAACCGATTAAGGATAGGCCATACATAGACACTTGTGGGCCTAAACCCTATGTGTCTCGAAAGGGGTCCCACCTAATTGAAGGGTGAAATTCTTTGGCTCCATATAGAGAGCGTGAAGGATTGCCATCCGATATGAGAATTTTCTAGAGCAACAAGTATTTGGGTTTCCTTTTCCGATTCCTGGAGAAAGGTTGTTTTATGGTATGTAGTACTAGTAGTAGTAGCAGTAGTTTGCTGTGGCTATGTATTAAGAGAAAATGTATTTAATAGCGCGAATGTGCAGTGTGAGAAGCCGATGGCGGAATATTACGACTTTCAATGAGGATAGTTATATAATATTTGTAAAGGGTGAAGGAGAAAGTTTGAATACTCAATCGCCTTAATGAGAGAACGGTATTTAAATAGTAAAGAGTGTATTTAAGAGTGAGAGAGGATTTGTATTTGGAGACTAGGTTGAAAGACGGATAAGGCCAAATTTTGACCCCAGAAAACCGGGGATGGGTGATTCTCGAAGCCTCAAAGCGACAATAGGATGATTATTGAAAATATGACTTATTGTATATTTATAATTTAATGTAAATTACGTAAAAGTTGGAATTGGCGAGCTGCAATGACTGACAGTTTTGAGCTCTTTACGCACAGTTAGCATTACTGCTACTCCTTTTCAGTGCAAAAATGGAATTGAGTTCTTTGAGTGTTTTTCAAGAATGTAGTCATAAATAGTAAATTGCACCACGATTTATTTAAACAGTGGTTTATTGTTTTTCACATAACTGTTACATACAACGAGAATAGGATGATCATTGAAAATTTGATAATTTTTGTAAATAAAATTAAGCACGCTGCTACGATAAAATGGTCGAAGGGTGAATCGGCGACAAGATTTTTTATTTATTTTAACAAAGTTCAGTCTTTTATCCATACAAAGGTTGGACTTAAGAAACAGGAGACCCAACATTGGACCTGCCAGCCTGCGTGTCATATTTATGTCAGGGCTCATCCCTACTCGCTTCCTATAAGGAGCCAAGGCCACTCTTCTACCGGAGTTGGCACACTGAGTAACCTTTCTCTACAAACGGGACACCTGCGGAATGATCAATCCTCAATCGGGTTAACACTTTATTTTCCTTTCGTTTCAGACTCTCCGGGGCCATCGTTCAGTGCTCTTAACTTTACCCGCTGGAGCTTCTCTAATAATAGTATTATTATTCTTAGCAATGGATAAAACAATGAACTATCGACATCCTTCATTTTTATCGTATGAAATTTATGTTAATTATGTAGAAAATTAAGATCGCGTTTCACGTTTTGTTCCAGAAAGCTTGTTCAAACTAGATTCGCAGGTGACAAGTGCGTTCTTACGATTCCTCAGTGGATTAAGCCCACTGATGTATTAGATACGGGACACCCTAGTGGAAACTTGAGCGGTTATACACATAGTTCTCTTCGGAAGCATTCAAACACATCAAAGCTAATTTACCATCCTGTCTGTTTCTAAATTAAATACTAAACAATTTTCAAAGATAAATTAGTATACATCAAACAATATGTTAGTTCTACTCCGGCAAATATTGCAAGCTGAGAAGTGATGAAGATGGCGAGACTCTAAAAGGTCTACTTAGTGTTTTTCTTATTTGTTAATTTGACTCGGATTGTACTACTTATTATTTTAGAAGGAGAAAAAGCATGATGAAAACGCTTTGATGATGTTAACGTTTCCTTTTTATGTGCGTATGTGTTCTTTTCAATCTGCAAGGAATACTGAAATTTCGGTTTTTTTGGTGCTAGGCGAATAAAATGATAATTAGAAAAAATAACAATTTTTTATTAAATTTCAGTCTTTTATCCGTACAAAGGTTGGACGGGGGCTGGATGAGCGGCTCCTTCCTTGTGGACGACTGCGTTGAAGCCGTTGACGGAATCCGCCGTGTATTCGACTACCCGGGTCGTGCCGTCGGCCTCGAGGAGTGAGTAGCTACCCTGGACCACGTCGCCGTCCCTCGACTCCCTCTGGCTCTTAAAATCACCCGTCGTCGGATCCTGGACCTGGTACTCGAAGTTGTAACGCGGGTTCGGGTCGAAAGTATCACCGCCGACGGCGACGGGAGCCTGAACCACCCGAGGATAATTGGCCAAATACTGAGCTTGAACTACACTCAAAGCCAATAAGATGGCAAAAACTGAAATACCCTGAAAAAAATTAAAAAAACCTAAAATTAAATACAAAATTCTTGCTTGATCAAAATTCGCTATTTATGGGCCACTTGTTTTTAAGTTTAAATTGGGCAGGACCTTTTTGACCAAATCTTATTTTGAAACCTATAAAATGTTTAATGGTGGCTTTATATTTACCAAATAAGACATGTTCGTATCCTGTTGTTATCTCCAACTGCCTCCAAGAAGCTTGAAAGTGCTTATATATTCCAGCGAAGGCAAATTGTTTGCGAAATCAGAATAAACAGGTCCAGCCATCTCTCCCCTATCTTTAATACCTGTTTTATTATTGAGTCCTGTCCTAACTCCGGCCCTTTCATTGATAACCCGATCCATGACCTTTTGGTTCTAATTTTTTTCTTCTTAATGGAATACACGTTTTTCGCTTTTGCCATTTTTGTTTTTTATGCGGGATGTTGTTTTGAAACTTTATTCAGATTTTGTATTTCGAAAACAAATCGTGTAAAATGATCCGTTTTAGTATACTGATAATTTTCTATCGCTCAAAAACTTTTCCGTTAAACTAATTGGTTATTTTTAACATTAACCTCTAATAAAAAATACCGTTTATCGCTTTACTTTATTTTATTTTTAAGACTTTATGTTCATGAATGATACATTATATAAAATAAAATAACGTGTAATATTATATAACACCTTAAAATCGCCATGGTTTTACACCATTAAGGGTGTCTATTTATTACCTACCATTTCTTTAAATTTGAAAATGCACAAACTAAAATTTTACTGTTTATATTTTAACTTTCGTAAAGAAAACAAACAAAAAACAATGTGTTGAGCTCAAAATTATTGTTTCTTACTTTTAGAGTCAGACAAGTCGTATCATGATAAAGATGATTGTTTAACTCATCAACTTTAAAGATGATTGGCACTCTCGACACGACACGCAAGAATGGCACAATTGCACAGTTTTGAGCCCTGAAGATGATCTCAATAAAGATCGAAACGTTGGCACGATAAAGAAAATGTTTTTCTGAAACGTACATCTCACCAGACCGCATCTCACGATTTCTAAATAAATATCGATTAACGGTCACTAATCACTACCCATTGTTTAAAATAATCTATCGATGCTGACAAGTTTTTTCCAACGGCATACTCAAACATTTCTTCTCCAGTTGATCTGAGCCGACCCATTTTATCGTTATCTGTGAGTACCCTGGGCATAGCGACCCCATGATACATATCTTCCATGAACATTGTGCATATTGGACAGATTTCATTTTCGTTTAAAAAACGTCTATGGGACAATTTCGACCGTCCATCCGTTAATTTTATGTTCCGTTTCATGGAGGTTAGAGTAATCAGTTTACGTAAGTAATTTATATTTCGATTAAAATCAAATTATCGACTCTTGACAAGTTTCTTTATCTTGATTCAATAAATGGTAAATCCATAATAAAAAAATCTTGGGCAGAGAACATCTTTGCGATCTGTTTTGCACAGCGCTTCTACTGCAGAGATACCCGCAATGGTATAAATGAATCTTTTTATAATGCCGTTCCTCAGTGCTGACATTTATCCAAGAGTACGTCTGATTCCATATCTAGAGAGAAATTTTCAGCTTTTTGGATAAATTCGATAGTATCCTGAGTCATAGCAGAACTAAAGTTGCCAAAATTCATTTTCCCTTGGGACATTAGATTTCCTGACGCAAGCAGCATACTTTCTTTTAGAATAATGACTTTAGACAATAATTTGCACATTTGATGAGTTTATCCTGTCCCACATAAAGCGGAAGATCAGATGCTCTGACTAAACAGTCCATCCATCCTTACTTTCGGCATTGACTCCCTAGGTCCTGATCTCTACTATGGCTTAGCATCCTGCTACAAAAGAGAATACATCTTAAGATGGATCCTTAACGCCTGGTGGAACAATACCACAGGCATGAGGCACGTGAAGAAATTCATTGAAGGGCTCTTTGCTTTCACCTCCATGAGGCAAGGGCCTTTAGTGCTCGCTGAATGTCAGATAAGACGGCTATCTTCTGGGAATGATTTCCTACCCTTTTTATTTCTCTGCCGTGTTAAATCGCTATGATTTTAGGCTGGAAAACTGTAGTTTATTTACCCAAGTTTTATTGTCAGTTCGGTCTTTGGATTCATCCCGAAGACTCCAGCTCCCATGCTGGTCGGTTTTGAAGTCTTCAGTGTTTGTTTTGGCGGTGTTCCTTTGGCCCATTCTTCCCGTTCTGGTATCAGAACTTTTACCTTTTAGTGAATTGTATTTTGGAGTAGTGGCATCCATTGGTATGCCTAATATGGCATCTGCCTGTATCTCCTCCCTTAGTTTCCGTTGTTTATTTGCAAGGCCTATCCTTCTAGATGGCTGTTCAATAATGAGCACATGGGCTGCTCTGGCTTCTTCTTGGATTAAAATATTAAGTGATGGGAGGTTTAACAATACCTCGAGGAGTTGAACTCATGGTTGTAGTGACACTGAGACAAGCTTGTTTTTGGATGTCATTAATAACCTGATTTCTTTGGCCTGCAGAGTCGCAGAGTCCGGGCCCCACCACACCACCGACCCATATGTCATTGGCCTTAAGACGAAGATGTATAGCCATAGGGTCATAGGGGGATTTAATCCCCAGTTTTTGGCGCAGAACATTCTGCACCTCTCCCAGGCAATTTTGTCTCTCTGGGTGGTTTTAGTTAAATGTGGATTCCATGTCAGTCGCTGGTCTAGTGTAATCCGTAGATATTTGGCCTCCTTGGAAAATGGGATCGGGATTCCGTTTAGACTCGGAGTTTTTAGGGTTCCTATTGTCCTCATCCTTGTGCATCCAATCATTATGTTTTTGTGGCTTTTTAGTTCCTCTCTTTCCACCACTGTCAACCAGGTTGAGGGCTAGTTTTGTGCCCTTTACTACTACAGCAGGTCGTCCGCATAGCCTAGATAGTAGAATCCTTCTTGTTCCAGTGTTTGTATAAAAAGATAGTAAAAGTTATCAAAGTTTATCAATATCCAAAAAATTTATTCAGAAATCATGAGATGCGGTCTGGTGTGATGTAGGTTTCAGAAAAACATTTTCTTTATCGTGCCAACGTTTCGACCTTTATTGAGATCATCTTCAGCGCCTGGGATTTACAAATATTTAGGATGTGGAAAAGTGAATTTATACAATGCAAAATATATTTCATCTGAATAATTATCGATTAACAATCACTAATCACCTCACATCCAAAAAAATTCTTAAAACCAAATATTTTTCAAGCAAATTAAGTTTTTATTGTTATTTTCGTACAATTAAATTTCGTTTTAACACCTACAGAGCCCACTTAAATACTTGTTTGAATTTAAATTTACCAATTTTTTTAACCCTAAAAATTTTACCGATTTTTCAGAAAACAATGTCGGAATATCTGATCGAAACCACTATAATTAAAGAATACTTAAAAGGCGTCCAATTAAAAAAAGAGGAACGTAGCTTTTTAACGACGTATGTACCATTAAAATATATGAAAAATTTCTATAAGAAAATACACAAAATAACAAAATAATTGTATTTATTTTTATAATAATTTAATTTTATAAATTAACCTCGATTTTTTAAAAGGAAATAATAGTCTTATTTTAAGTCGGATAAATAATAAAATGCCCATGAAAATATCTTTTAATTGAATTAACAACCATGAAAATCGTTCCACGAAATTTTGCGAAAAAAATTTGCGAGCTTGCACTAGGGAATGTCAGTCAGGCAAGAAGTCGAAATTATCAGTGAAAAAATTTATTTTCGCAAAAAACGGTGTTTTATAACATGAAAATCACCACCATTTTTGACCATTTTCTGACCTATTTTCCTTACAGAATTTTTGTTGAAATATACAAGAAAAGTAGTACTTTGTTAATTTATCTTTTTTCTTTGTTAATTTATCTATTCTGCGTCGTAGAATATTTTTTTATGTTATCCAACATTGAAATTATTACACCAAAATTTTTGTAAAAATCTATATATAACGATTTATGTTCGTTTACTTAAATTTACTTTATGTTTATCGTTTTTTTATATTTTCGATTTTGGAAAGTAAAATCACCAGAAAAAAGTTTGGTTCAGTTCAGTGACCCACCAACCTCGTCCCGTTATAAGATGTTATCAAATTCACCTATACGCAACAATTGGTAAGGTGTAAATAAATAAAGAAGGAGAGGAAAAAAACCTTGAAAAGGAAACTATTTATTTTGAACTCGTCTTCGAAACCAGTGAGAAATTTTATCCCCGCTTGAGGATGGCCAAAGGGCGGAATTAGACAGACCAGTTTTTGAGAGATGTCGCAAAGACAGATTTTCTATACGATGAAATATATAAAAGGCGGATTCGGCTGAGAATGGTACCAGACAGCAAAAGACCTCGGATTCGACATGGCTTTCGGAGTAAGTTGATTCAATACTGTCCTAAAGACTTAATTCAGCATTCAGACTTTTTTTTTACTCTGTCTCATTTTTGCGCCCTGCGATATCAAATATTCCCTAAATTTATTAATCCATTATTTCAAAATAGTTTTACGTTTACAAATTCAAATTTTATGGCTATAAATGGTTTTCTTATAGGGAAAAAAAGACCGCCCAAGTGAATAAACTGTTTTGGTACTTATTTTAAACAATGATTTACAAATTGAGATAATTGGTTATCAATTGTCTATATATATGGAAGGAAGTGGTGCTGGTCTTAGATGAATACATGCTGTACTGATGGACTATGATCAATGGTCCGTACATTCTCGCTGGTTTACGTTCCACTCATAAGTGTTTTGCCTAAAAGCCATCTTTGTACGAGCCCAGTGAAATGATACATTCGACACAAACAAGTAGCAAAAATAATTTAAGCGTTAACTGTGTCCAAATGATGAAAAACCAATTTCTTGTAAAAATTATTCAATTATTTAAGATTTTAAGTTGAGATAAAAAAAGTCAGTGTCACGAGCGGGATTCGAACCCACGACTTTCGTTTTGATACGCCGCTACTCTGCCACTTGAGCCTTCGAGAAGTGGTAGAGTAGCGGCGTATCAAGCCTTAGGTCGTGGGTTCGAATCCCGCTCATGACACTAACTTTTTTTATCTCAACATAAAACCTTAAATAATTGAATGATATCAATTGGTCAAGCGGACCACGAAAAATAGTGAATTTAATGAGTCTTGTAAAAACATGGGTTCATTTAACTCTTTGAACAGGTTATAAATTATTTATGAATCACATATAAAATCAAATTTCACCTAATATTTACAAGATGTTGATAGAATTGCAATAAAAAAACTGACCATTACAAAAAATTATAGGACATGATGTAAAGTATTTATTGAACAAGCTTCGAACTATTAAACCAGCTTGTAGAAAGCTTCATCTTATTATCATGGCGACTGTAAATAAGAACATTTCATTTTTAACCGTTTTTATTTTACATGTTAGGACCCTATTTTACAAATTAGTAATATAATGATGGTGTCGATGGTAGTAAAGAAAAACTAGAAAGCGGCCGTATATACGACTTCCTGACGCTTATTTTCGCAGTTCATCCTAACCGAGACGAGATGTCGACATCAGTTGAACTCTGATGGCCTAACGCAATTTGTAAATTTTAAACTTGTAGCCTACTATAAGATAAAAATTAACAACCTGTTTGACCATCAGACTTGTCTGATCCGCTAATTCTCGCAGTTATAGCCTGTCAGGGACGGGTTATATGTTAGGATTTATGGTGGATTTATGATGATTAGGATACTAGTTAGCGGGAGATTTAGAATTCCAAAGCAACTCATCCTTAAGTTTAAAGATACTTTTCTTAGTTCAGTTCAATTGGCGCAATCCTTCTTTTACGAAGTAAGCCAATGTATTGCTGCAATTCCCGGGTATTCTTGGTATGCTAAGTTATATCGCTTTGATGATATGAATGGTAGTTTTTTCTTCTTGTTCATAGCATAATATACAAATAGGATCTTCTTTGAATACACCGCAAAGTTGTTTTCTCTTATATCACTAACTGGTATAAAGCCGGATCTTCTTATTTTTGCCTTGTCTAACTGAGTTCGTAAGTTTTGGCGAGGATTCTTTCACCGTAAGTTATCCCGGAAACATCTTTACAACATTTTATAATTAATTAAGGTTTTCAGTCGAGATAAAAAAGTCAATGGCACGAGCGGGATTCGAACCCACGAACTTCGGCTTGATACGCCGCTACTGTACCACTTGAGCTATCGTGATCTCGTTCCACTCGGAGACCAACTTCCCATCTCAACCGCACCTTTTGATTCTTTACAACAACTTATATAGTCTCAACTGATTATGAAGGAGAAGAAGAACACAGGAGAGCATCACATACGAAGATATGGTGTACAGATGGCTCCAAAACAAACGTAGGAACCGGATCAGGCATTTTCTGTACAAGCCCAAACATGAGCAATCAAACTCATTAGGGAAGTACTCATCGGTTTTTCAAGCAAAAATACATGCCATCAATGCCCTGGAAAATGTTCAAACAGGTTACACTGCCAAAAAAATCCTCCCGATCTGATAGCCAACCAGCCATTAAAGCACTAGTATGTAAAAGAATTACATTAAAATTAGTCAGTGAATGCATCCAAAATCTCCACAACCTGGGGAAACAACAAAATGATGATATCTTAAATGCCAGGGCACAGAGGAATTTTGGGTTAACGTCAAATAAGACAGTCTGGCAAAAGGAGGATCCGCAAGACCAAACATAGGCCCCGAACCTATACTTGGGATAACAAAACCAAATATAGAATTCTCCATCGCAGAATGGATCCAAACAAAACCAAAATGATAAGTGGATAAGCTCTAGCGGCGCCTAGACATAGTAAACTTATGATGAAACAACCCTCATCAAGACTGGCAAACTCATGCTGCACCTGGGCATACAGAATGATGATCCCATCTGCAGATTATGTAATGAGAAGAACGAAACAGCCTCCCCTACCATTTTCTTAGAGAATATTTCTCTCTTCTTATTGGCAAACTCTGTCAGACGGCATTAGCCATGCCATTAAACTTTGTGTATTATTCATTTTGTATGTGTGTATAATGAAGCATTCAAATAGAAAATTAATTATAATTACAAAACATTCCGCTAGTTTCTCACTAGCCAAGCTATCCTATCTGCAGACTATGTTGTTGAGGGGGAGGAAACAGCCACTCATATCATCTTCGAATGCGAAGCAACGGCTCAATGGAGACATAACCTAACAAACAAAAAAACTTAGGGAATGAAATTGTAACAGTGACAGTCAATGACCTGATATTTCTAAGGAGAAGGATTGAATCTACTGCACTGAACTAAGGAACTAGGAAGGTACAATAAGCCAGAGGCTGCAGTACCTGGGGACCACAAACCCCGGACTTTCTCGCAGATCCTTCTTTAGCAGGTTTGTTTACTTGTTCATTAGTCAGAATTCCATTGTGTCCTGGGACCTAAGATCACTAGTAATTTAGTAATAACTACAATCACGTTGTGGGATGCTAAATGTACCAGACATAATGATACTAATGAGTTGTAATCTAACAATGACATATGTCAAGAATAATTCTTTAAATATTAAAAAGCTTATACATAATTAAATTATCAGGTACGGAAAAACGGAATTGATTCATTGTATCCTTATCACCATACCATACCATTCACCATAAGTTTAGTTCGTCTGGAATACAGGTGCGATTCGTCCATTATTCCTTCTGTTTTCTTCTTTTTGAAGTTATGTAAAATAATAATTTTTGGTTTTGAGTTGTAATTGTTCTTGTGCAATCTCCAACACAGTAAGTACATTACCCTATATTTACATTATCTCATTAGTTCTTTCCAAGCTTATACCTCTGACGAGCCGATGAAGAACTATATATAACCGATAAGAAACCAACAACCGGTATGTAACCATATCACTATCCTCAGTTTTTCACTGTTTAACTGTAACAATGTTTTGCCAGTTTTGATGAGGGTTTTTTTTTATCATGAGTATACTCTCTCTGGCACCATTGGAGCTTGTGCACTTCTATTTTTGTTTTCTTTGGACTTTTTCGCAGATTCTTCTTTAGCAGGTTTGTTTACTGTTCATTAGTCAGAATTCCATTGTGTCCTGGGACCTAAGATCACTAGTAATTTAGTAATAACTACAATCACGTTGTGTGATGCTAAATGTTCCAGACGTAATGATATTATTGAGTTGTAATCTAACAATTACATATGTCAAGAATAATTATATAAATAGTAAAAAGCTTATACATACTTAAGGTACGGAAAAACGTTGATAGTCAAATTAACAACATATGCAATGTATCTTAGATTTAACGATTGGATTTTGGGTGTTAGTAATGTTTCTTGTAATAATGTATGAATTTATAGGTTTTCCTGGCATTGACAGCTGTAGTGGCAATAACGACCGCTTCGCCACAACTTTTTGCTGCTCCTGTTGTAGCACGTGCACCGGTAGTTGCGAACCCGGCCGAATTCGACCCGAACCCGCGTTACAACTTCGAGTACCAGGTCCAGGATCCGACGACGGGTGATTTTAAGAGCCAGAGGGAATCTAGGGACGGCGATGTGGTCCAGGGTAGCTACTCACTCCTCGAGGCCGACGGCACGACCCGGGTAGTCGAATACACGGCGGATTCCGTCAACGGCTTCAACGCAGTCGTCCACAAGGAAGGAGCCGCTCATCCAGCCCCGGTCCAACCATTGTACGGATAAAAGACTGAAATTTAATAAAACATTGTTATTTTTTCTAATTATCATTTTGTTACATTCGCCTAGCACCAAAAAAATTGAAATTTCAGTATTCCTTGCAGATTGAAAAGAACACATACGCACATAGAAAAGAAACGTTAACATCATCAAAGCGTTTTCATCATGCCTTTTATCCTTAATAGTTAAACTTTATTTCTTAAGTATTTAATTATTCCAAAATAATAAGTAGTACAATCCGAGTCCAATTAACAAATAAGAAAAACACTAAGTGTCCTTTTAGAGTCTTGCCATCTTCATCACTTCTCAGGTTGTAATATTTGCCGCAGTGGAACTAACATATTCTTTGATATTTACTAATATATCTTTGAAAATTGTTTAGTATTTAATTAATTAAGGTTTTTAGTTGAGATAAAAAAGTCAATGGCACGAGCGGGATTCGAACCCACGATCTTCGGCTTGATACGCCGCTGCTCTACCACATGAGCTATCGTAACCTCGATCCACTCGGACACTAACTTCCCATCTCAACCCCACCTTTTTGAATTTTCCCTCCTTTTTGCCATTTTTTTACCAAGTGGTAGAGCAGCGGCGTATCTAGCCGAAGATCGTGGGTTCGAATCCCGCTCGTGCCATTGAATTTTTTATCTCAACTAAAAACCTTAATTAATTGTAATGTATTAATTGGTTGAACGGACCACGAAATTAGTGAATTTAGTATTTAATTTTGAAACGGACACAATGGTAAATTAGCTTTGATGAGTTTGAATGCCTCCCAAGAGAACTATGTATATAACCACTCAAGTTTCCAGTAGGGTGTCCCGTGTCTAATACATCAATGGACTTAATTCCCTGAGAAATCGTAAGAACGCACTTGTCACCTGCGAATCTAGTTTGAACAAAACGTGAAACACGATCGTAATTTTCTACATAATTCACATAAATTTCATACGATAAAAATGAAGGATGACGATAGTTCATTGTTTCATCCATTGCTAAGAATAATAATACCACTATTAGATAAACTCCTGCGGGTTAAGTTAAGAACGATGGCCCCGGAGAGTCTGAAACGAAAGGAAAATAAAGTGTTAACCCGATTGAGGATTGATCATTCCGCGCAGGTGTCCAGTTTGTAGAGAAAGGTTACTCAGTGTGCCACCTCCGGTCGAAGAGTGGCCTTGGCTCCTTGTAGGAAGCGAGTAGGGATGATCCCTGACATAAATATGGCACTCGGGCTGGCAGGTCCAATTTTGGTTCTCCTGTTCGTTTCTTAAATCCAACCTTTGTATGGCTAAAAGACTGAACTTTATTAAAATAAATAAAAAATCTTGTCGCCGATTCACCCTTCGTCCATTTTATAGTAGCAGCATGCTTAATTTTATTTACAAAAATTATCAAATTTTCAATGATCATCCTATTCTCGTTCTATTTAACAGTTATGTGAAAAAACAATAAACCACTGTTTAAATAAATCGTGGTGCAATTTACTATTTATGACTACATTCTTGAAAAACACTAAAGAACTCAATTCCAATTTTGCACTGTAAAGATATTTGTAATGCTAACTGTGCGCAAAGAGCTCAAAACCGTCAGTTATTGCAGCTCGCCAATTCCAACTTTTACGTAATTTACAATAAATTATAAATATACAATAAATCATATTCTCAACAATCATCATACTGTCGCTTTGAGGCTTCGAGAATGACCCATCGCCGGTTTTCTGGGGCCAAACTCGGCCTTATCCGTCCTTCAACGCAGTCTCCAAATTCAAATCCTCTCTCAGTCTTAAATACACTCTTTACTATTTAAATACCGTTCTCTCATTAAGGCAATTGAGTACTCAAACTTTCTCCTTCACCCTTTACAAATTGTATAACTATCATCATTGAAAGTCGTAATTCCGCCATCGGCTTCTCACACTGCACATTCGTGCTAGTAAATACATTCTCTCTTAATACATGCTAGATACACCAAACTATCGGTACTACATACAATAAAACAACCTTTCTCCAGGAATCGGAAAAGAAACCCAAATAATTGTCGCTCCAGAAAATTATCATATCGGATGGCAATCCTTCACGCTCTCTATATGGAGCCAAGGAATTTCACACTTCAATTAGGTGGGACCCCTTTCGAGACACATAGGGTTTAGGCCCAAAAGTGTCTATGTATGGCCTATCCTTAATCGGTTGATAATGACCCATCGTAAGTTAATATCTGAAGGCTACCTATCGAAGTGCTTATTAGATTATCAAAATATGGGTTGAATGGTGCGCTGTTTAAGCCTGAAAGTCGTCTTATTTGTTTTTCATTAGTCATTTTGCTAAATTGCAAAGATGGAAGGGGTAAAATTAAAAATTGTATTTTTTTATCTGTTAATGTTATTATCATCCTATTATCATCGCTGACAGACTGCTCAAGACATGCAGGTTGCGGCAAGTTTGCTTCAAAATAAGGAGCATGTTTCCAGTCGAGGTAACCGCTTCTCACTATTCTCCGAGCGAAAATTAACAATTAAAAATAATTAATGTCCCTTTGGACCTTATATGGTTAACTATTTATGATTTGGTCTGTAATGGAAAATGTTGAATTCCTATAATCAAGGCCAAAAGTTCAAGTACCAATTTCAACTTTTATGTAATTTACACTAAATTTTCATATTAATAATATAAATTATTCATGACTGGCTAAACACGCTTAATCCAAGTGTGTGCCTTTTGGATTATTTCACCTGGCAGGTGCATGCTTCTTCCCTTTCTTAAACTACAATATCCCCTGAAAGGTTTCTCAGTGTGCCACCCCCGGCCAAAGAGTGGCCGTGGCTCCTTACAGGAAGCGAGTGAGCTTCATCCCTGACGTAAAGTTGATACTCGGGCTGGCAAGTCGAATGTTGAGTCCCCAATTCCTTTTCTTAAGATAAACTTAGGTGTTTCCTCACATATACTGTATATATTGCTTTTACGTGTATGTGAATTTGTGTGTATATTTATTTGTATATGTTTGTAAATAATTTAGTTATCGGTTGTGTGATTAATGTACAGCGTAGGGCCTATCTACCCCTTCGGTCATAACAGCGAGCGGGGCTGAAATAATTTCACTGTAGGTAGCTCCATTTAAAAAGAAAAAAAGTTAAAATAACAAAATTAACAAAATCTAAGTTAAATTAAAAAATTTAAATTTTTAACTAAAATATAGATTGATTATCTAGGGGATACCTTATATGGATAACTATTTATGATTTGGTCTGAAATGGGAAATGTTGAATTTCAATAATCAAGGCCAAAATTTGGCGAACAAGTAGTTCCGACATTAAAGCTTCGTTCATTGAACAATTCAACAACCGAAGAGTTCGCAGGAAGTGTACAAATCTGTTTTATGAAAAATCTAAGCGAAAATAAACAACGCGAGGTTGGAAAATAAAAGTGCAAATATTAAAAACGTAAGCTAAATTTCGGGGACAAAAGCTCGGAGTTATAAGAGAGGTGGGAGTAATACTCATAAATTATTCATGACTGGCTAAACACGCTTAATCCAAGTGTGTGCCTTTTGGATTATTTCACCTGGCAGGTGCATGCTCCTTCCCTTTCTTAAACTACAACTTCCCCTTTCTCAAGACTTATCTCTTCGAGCAGATACGTGCACACAATCCTCCTCGAGTTCCTCCTTCGAAACTTAGCCCCTGCGACACTCTGTACTTATTGCACGGCTTGTTCACCATCGTATAAATACAAACTCTCAGGAATTTATCGCCTAACGTATTATTCTACAATTTGCGCGTCTGCTTTTTATCTGAATTTACTCAAATTTGAAATCAGGGTGTGGGAAAATATCTTCTGCCTGCTAGGTTTTGTATCCTATAAAATCATAAATACTGCTACGAAATCAACAACTGTGTCAAACAATATCAAAATTATTCAATAATCGGACACTAAACTTATCATATTGCCTGGGATAATTTCCGTTCGATTAATCGATTCTCCCCGTTTTTGAATATCTTTAAACGTTTATTTTTTCACAATATCATTTGTACAGATTAATGTATGAAATTCTGAACATATTCGAAAATAAAAAAAATATATATTTGGACCATTTTCTTGACTCATGCTCCAAGCAGCAAACATGTGAACTGTAAATATGTAAATTTTTTGTAAGAAGAAGAAAAAAAAATATTCTGGGACAGTTGTATCCCCTTAGAATTATACATAGGTTAAATTAAAAGTTAATAACATTAAATTCACAGTTTTCGTGGTCCGCTTGACCAATTAATATCATTCAATTAATTGAGGTTTTTAGTTGAGATAAAAAAGTGAGTGGATCGAAGTCATGATAGCTCAAGTGGTAGAGTAGCGGCGAATCTAGCTGAAGGTCGTGAGTTCGAATCTCTCTCGTGCCATTAACTTTTTTTCATCTCAACTAAAAACCTTAATTAATTGTAATTGAAAATAATAATTACTAAGTAAATTTAAACTGTGGTTAGGGGCGTCGGTGGCCGCAAGGTTTAGTCTTTGACACGGCGTTTATCACTATGAGGTAAAGGTCCAGGGTCGAATCCAGCGGCCCTGCATTCGAACCCGACATACTTACAAATGGGCTTTTTTTTCAAAAACACCGGCACCCTGAGGGCTTATATGACCTCTGCTGTTTCGAACCCTCGTAAAAAAAGTAAATAAATAAACTGTGGTTAAATGGACTCCGTTTGGAGAGGAGCTGCATGTACAGGAAATGTTTAAAACAGATTAGGGATGTAGCTTTGCGGAGGGAGCGAGTTCCGTCATTTTGGTCCTCGGACAAGGAAAGACCGTTTAAAGGTGCATGTTTTATGCCGGGGAAGGATTCGGTTATAGAGAAAGTATTACTGGAGTATAAACAGCATTTGAATCGGATGGACTGGGATGCAATGAGGATGCTGGGTGTTAATGGCCTGGTCAAGGAAGAAACCAAGAAAATATAGAGTTAGGCCTTCGGGGAATGACGAATATCCGACACAACAGTTCATTAATCTTTTTATATGCTTATTTCTCCACCCCGAATGCCCATTTTAAGCAAAACAGCTGTGGTCAAAGAAGGTTAAGATGATGGAAGAGATCAGGAGATTACGGGTGGAAAACGGTAGGAGGAGCCAGGACCGGCGGAATTGGATGAGGAAGGGAATACAACGACGGGAAATTTGTGAAACGTGAAGATACCAATAGAGGACTGGATCTTATCATGACATTTGTGGATTTTGTAGAAGGGGGTGTCCGGGCGCAAAATAATGGTGCAGCGTTGAGGGCTTGGCAACCTCTCTAAAGCACAAGGTGCACTCGTGTGGGCCTCGGGTCGGCATGGGCGGCGGGTGCCATATCAGAAACACACGATTGGTTCAGGTACCAGATCCTGTCTGCATAGACGGGGGAGGGTGTATTACCATCTGTACTACGTGGTAACAGAAATGTTCCAAAATCCCGCCCCTGTTACACTGGGAATGGATTCGTAGTGGTGCGTAGTGACGCCCCTGGCGGGAACTTAGAGAAGAGGCTTCTAACTGTGACCTTCGCACGAAACTTGCGCATGACCATCGTTATACACCCGGCCTCACGGGATAGGACGGCAGCGTATAAGCGTTGAGGACGCTATGATTATGCTGAAAAGTCCCTCGAATGCGTGAGTAGTGGCGGATGGGAACGGGTAGTGAATCGGTTGCTCCTACTCGACTATGCTTTGCTCGTAGGCGTAAGCTGAGCTCGATTGGAGGCTTTTACCATAGGCGGTACTCCTCTACGGGGTGGTTAGCAATTCCACTTTAAACAAAACCGCAGCCGGAGCGGATCTGGTAGTTTAAACGCTAGAGAAGCCCCAATACTCTGGGAGATAGAGTCCTTCTCTATCTAGGGAGTGCGCGGGAGACCAGGCTAATGTATTTCGCCTTAGGTAGCCCTTTGCGCGCGGCATACGGTCTGATGCTTAATGGAGACCCGACCACTCGGAGTGGGGAGCGAGGTTGTCTTGGTCCTTCGGGGCTGAGCTGCCTCTACACCAACGCTGCGGCAGTAACACCATTCTGTCATATGTGAAGGTGCGTCAGCTCTCATCTTGAGAATCAAAACGTCCGATAAGGCCGAATAAGCTAGGTTCGTATGTTAAAGATCCTTGTCTTTTGAGGACGACCGAGTATACGGGAAAGCCTGTGGACTTTGTAGAATTGAAGTGGAAGGAATTTATTTAGGCCCGGTTGTTGATTGAATTTAGGTCTTTTTTGATCTTGGATCTTGCCATTGGAAGTTCAGAGGGGGAATGGGGTACGAGTCTACCCAGGCATTTAACCCCTCGGGGTCTTGGTCGCCCACCCTGCCACCGGGTATAGGTCAGAGGGATAGAAGCAAAGGTAAATTTGGGCGTCTGTTGCAATGGATGGAATAGGAGAGATCATTAATGTAGATGCTGAAAAGGATGGGAAAGATGCTAGTGCCTTGGGGAACTTTAGCTTGGGGAGCTCTTTATACTATAAGGACTTTTACACAAAGTGAAACAATTAGAGATTTTCTACATATTCGAGCCATTCCCAATATTTACAAGGAGGCAACTTCATCGTATAACATATCAGATAAATTTATAATTAAATAAAAAGTAAAGCAAGGCGGTGTTTTAAGCCCTATGTCTGTCAGTCTCTGCAAGATTGGAAAAAAGTTTTCCGACGGAGTTAAGAAACCATGATCAATTTTCAGGCAGTCATCAATAACGGATTACATGGCAACTGGTTTGTGATTGTGTGTTGGAACAAGCCTGAATTGTTAGTGTGCTTGCTTAGGCTGTTTTGGAAATAATAAGCTCTCTAAAACTCTCTAATAAAATAAAAATAATAAAAATTTCCCTATTATTATCAACAAAGGCGAAGGATTTTCTTTTTCAATTATAGAAATGGAAATTATTAAAACTTCTTGAAAATATTTCTCCTAACAGGTTTTTATCAGCTAAAAAAATATTATTTGGAATTCTCTGTGAAAAAAACATATATTAATTACAAGGTGGATTGCTAATAACGAAACATCGGTGAGCCACGAAAGCCAAATCCATTTTGCAATTAAACTAATTGAAAGGTGCATTTTTGTTCGCTGTAGTCACCCTGGTTCCTGGTGCGACGATCCGTAACGATCGAATGATACCGTGTAACTGAGCTATCTCTTTTTATATTCGAAATTTACGAAACGGAGGTTAGAAAACTAGTCTGTGACAAGTCTTGCAACATAAACCTGGTTTTGCTGAGACAGTTTATCCAACATTGGCAAACCGGACAGTACAAGAAAAATTAATGATAAACGCACAGGCAAACGATTCCACCCAATTGATTTTTTTTCTCGATAAAAGTAAATTCTGCTCTTATTTTCCTGATTGTTTCTATCATTAAAATATTTGTCTATGGCTATGTTTTAAATTGGGGATATCAATTAGAGGTAAACACGCTTAATCCTTAATCCAAAACAATGATAAAGGATTTTTCAATGTTTACTTTTTACAGAAATTAAAATGTTTATTGATTCTCATCTGGATTCTGAAGCAATAAACTGTTTAGTTTTCATCTTTCTTTTCTTAATTTCAATTTTTAAACTTAAAAATGACACTTAGTGCTGAGGATTCGCGAGTGGTGTGGCATTTATTGATGATGGACGTTCTATGAGGTATGTGACTATTGCGATCGGAGTTACCTAAGAAACACTGCGAGGTGCCGTTAGACGTTTTCCAGAAACTGGGTCCTACCATAGAAGGCCCGGTTCTGGACGCCCTAGGTTAAGAGAACCACAGGAGGACCGTTTTTTGATTATGAGAATTTTGCAAAACCGGCACCTTACGTTCAAGCAATTCTTATGCTCCAGGAAGTTCGAGATGTCCAAATTTGTGAAGGCACTGCTCTGATGGACTGATGACTTTTCGCCCTTTAAAGGTGGCCATTCACGATCACTCCAAATAGAACCGCGCCAAGCCGTACAGCTCCATTTGGAGTGCCTGAAATTTAATCAAACTTGGCTAAAATAGTCAAATCATATTGGAAAAATTAAATTAAACGTTTAGATCCAAACTAAATTCATTATTCGGGCTAGTGTCAACTTGAAAATCAGGGTCCTGACTGTTTCCTGACTATGCAGGGAAAACTTATGTAATAGTAGTACTGGCAGAAGAAAACATTGTGGAGATTTTTACAAAAAGAGGAAGAAACTACTGAGCACATTTTGTGTAACTTTGATGGTTTGTCTTAGCGTATGTTTCTGCAGCTAGACCCCACAAAACACCCAAAAATACACAAGAGCAACAAGCTATAAAACTTAGTACTCGCGAGCTTCGAGAAAAGTTTGAGGCATAAAAAAATTCTTTGAGAATGAGGTGAAAGTTATGACAAAATAAATATGGCCTAAGTCAGAAAATAATCAAATGATCCAAAATTTGTGACACAAAACTATAATTATGTAAGTGAAAATATAAATGGTATAGGAAATAGAATAAATGTTCATTATTGAATTCGGAAGAATGTCTGAGGAAATTTGTTTATCGGTTTAAAAGCAAAAATTACAATATTTAAAAAACAAGCATTTATTTACAATTTATTTCGTCTGTCATAAATTTAGATGCTTAGAAACCGTAGGAAACAACAGGGCTGGAGAAAGATGTGTGTACGACAGCAGGTGCGGCGGCGACGGGAGCATGGACGACGGCAGCAGGACGAGCGTAAGCGACTGGAGCGTGGGCGACAACAGCAGCGGGACGAGCGTAAGCGACAGGTGCGTGAGCGACGGCGACTGGGGCGTGAGCGACGTTGGTTTCCTTGTGTACGACGGCGTTGAATCCGTTGACGGGGTCGGCGGTGTAGTCTACGACTCTCCTGGAACCGTCGGGTTCGACGAGGGAGTAGCTGCCCTGGACGACGTCTCCGTCACGTGTTTCGGTTTGACCTTTGGAGTCTCCGGTCACGGCGTCGTTCACACTGTAAGAGAAGCTGTACTGGGGGTGCGGGTCGTACTCTTCGGCTCTAGCGACTGCGACTGGAGCGTGAGCGACTGCGACCGGAGCGTGAGCGACTGCGACCGGAGCGTGGGCAACAGTGGCAAACGGTGAGGCATAGCCCGCGGATAGAAACTGAGGTGCAGCCTGAGCTGCGACCAAAGTGGCGGCCAAAACAAAAGTTGTCTAAAAACGGTCAAATAGTTATATTACATACGGGAATCTCCAATTCGTTCATGATAATTTCATAAATTTTAGCACTGCTAGAAGATCGGAGTAATGCTGAAAATTGTATTGTTCGAAAAAGGCAGTAGTAGCAGGTAAAATTTTCTCATGTTAGAAGTATTTATCTTTTCTTTCAGGTATGCTATTTAAAAAACATAAAAATCATACATAAACAAAATTATTATTAAAAAATTAAGTCCTGCGGCTTGAAGCCCGACTACCCTCTGAGAGTCGCGACGACGGGTCAGAAACACTTAACCACCTACGATACATTTTTCTCAAATAAATCTATTTAAAATTATATATATTATTATAATCCGAGAATGCTATTATAATTCCAACGTTATTTATTACATACTTGAAATAGGGACGCAGCTCCAAAACAGAACGGTCAAAGTAAAGTAATAAAAAATTAGGTGGAAACAGTATATGAAAAGGAAACAAAAACACCAGTCGAAAACACACTTTTAAATAAAACGAAACCATAAATCAATGATTAAAATGCACATCAGTTCAAAAGTAACATCCAAATCTTTCTTTTAAAGGCCAATTGAATGTTAACAAATTGATCAATGCATGCCGGACAATTCTATAAAAACTTTTCGTTGATGAGAGATTGGTTGGATTGGATGAGAGTTCAGCCATTCGCAAACACCGACTAAGTACCCATAAGCGAGTTTTGATAGAATTTCTGGAGATCTGTAAAACCATTTAAAACCTACAATCCGAAGGACCAAGGAGTCGTCCATATTCTTCGCGGAATACAAAGTTGAGCTCAGATTTAAACATTTGGTATTTGATAGCTTTTCCTAGAATCATTTCTTATCATTTGAATGAGTTTTGTAGTAAGGAAACCAAATTAAATCACCGAATTTAAGAATATTCCTAACCAAAGATACAATATTTTTACTGCATGAGCATTTAAGTCAAACGTCATTCGTTTAATAACCCACGTTTCTTTATGTCTCAGGATCAATAGGAATGTATGAAATGTAAAAAGAAGAAATGTATGAATAATGATTCTCAGCGATACAATTCTTATTAAATATCAACCTCAAATCAGTGAGACCTCCTTAAGAGAGGGACATCATCAATGGAAAAAGATACGGAATACTGTTCTAAGAAAGGAACCTTTTTGGCAGAAAAAATCTAATGACATTTATTAAGATTAATCGAAAGTTCTTGTACGAATAATGATTCTCAAAGGTACATTTTTTATGAAATATCACGTTCAAATCGGTAATCATGTTGACCTCCTTAAGAGTGGGACATCAATGGAATAACATTTGGAATACTATTCTAAGAAAGAAACTTTTTTACATAAAAAATATAATGACATTTATGAAGATTAATCGAAAGTTCTTGCAGGAATAATGATTCTCAAAGGTACATTTCTTATGAAATATCACGCTCAAATCAGTAATCATGTTGACCTTCTTAAGAGTGGGAAATCATCAATGGAATAAGATAAGGAATACTGTTCTAAGAAGGAAATCTTTTTTGCAGAAAAAATTAATGACATTTATGAAGATTAATCGAAAGCTTTTCTTCGAATAATGCTTCTCAAAGGTACACTTCTTATTAAAGACCAGGCTCAAATCAGTTATCATGTAGACCTCTTCTGAGAGTGGGACATCATCAATGGAATAAGATACGGAATACTGTTCAACAAAGGAACCTTTTTTGCAGAAAAATTGTAATGACATTTATGAAGATTAATCGAAGGCATGTTGAGATTACACCAGTCATCAAAAGTAAAACTATCATTTTGCAATCGCAAACAACCATCAACTTTGTTGAATTTCACTCATTATGAAAGACTTTGCAGAATCAGCATACAATTGAGCATATTTTGCATAAAAAGAAATGTAATGACATTTATTAAGATTAATCGAAAGCCTGTGGAGAATGCAGCAGACATGAAAAGCAGAAATATATTTTTGCAACAGCAAACAACTATCAACATTGTTGAATTTCACAATTAACCTTTTAGGTAGTTCACTTTTAATGTGTTTTTTTTTGGGCTTTGAGTTTTTTTAAATCAATTTTTTTGTATATTATATCGTTTGTATTGATATTATATAGATTGAAATTGAGTGAAATTATATAGATATAAAAGTAAATAATTCATGTCTTACAGGAAGGATTAAATTCCTTAAAGTCCATCTTCCCGTTGGGTGACGCGAACGAGAGTTCATACCACTTTAAAATTGTCCTTATAATTCACAAGTACAAATGTACGAGCTATGCCGGGATTCGAACCCAGAACTCATAGCGTGGCCAATACGAGGCGGATGCCTTAACCACTCAGCCACCGCGGTCCCTATTTATTTTACATGTATAACATTTTTGAACTTAATTGTACTAGTAAACAGTTAAGGCTACCGCAACAGAACCGGCATTCTGTCTGGACTTCTAACACGACCTAAAAAAGGCACATGCCCCGGAGAGGAGTGTAGGCAGAAGAAACACTGTGAAGATACTGCCAGGAAGAGGAGGAGACTTCAGACCACATTTTATCTTTCTGTTAAGGTCTACGTACGTATAGGTTCTTGCAGCTAAGACAGGAAAAACGACATACCAGAAGCTACACTAAGGAACGTCTGGCAAGACTGTGGAGGTTGATTATCAACCTGAACCTAGCCAATTAGTTATAAAATACAGAGGAGCACTCATCTACTTAGGTCGAGGTGCAGAAGGTTTTGAGTCCGCCTCTTTTATCCCTTTCCATATCATTATCCATAGTAAACAGTTATTTGAAAGGTGAGAATATATAACCTATATAACAAATCAGTCATTGTACAGTATTATTCAGAAATCGTGAGATGCGGTCTGGTGTGATGTAGGTTTCAGAAAAACATTTTCTTTATGTTGCCAACTTTTCGATCTTTATTGAGATCATCTTCAGGGCCTGGGATTTACAAACATTGTTTACATTTGACAAATATGTTTGTAAATCCCAGGCCCTGAAGATGATCTCAATAAAGGTCGAAACGTGGCACGATACAGAAAATGTTTTTCTGAAACCTGCATCACACCAGACCGCATCTCACGATTTCTGAATAATTATCGATTAACGGTCACTAATCACCACACATTATACAGTATGTTCCTAACAAGATGAGAACCCCTTAGATTTTTTTTTAAAGTTTATAATGTAATAAATATGAGCTTGCAATAAGAAAGCACCTGTTGGAATATCAAAATTATTTACAGTCCTAATTATTTTTAAGTAATATCAGCTTTGTCTCGTCAAAATTGGTGGTTTTTCTCAAAATCACAGTTAAGTTTAATTTTTTTTATTAGACCGATTGACTGATAATAGTTGTTTTAAATTTGTATTGACTTTCAGCAATAATTCTTTAATGTATCGTTTAACCTTTGTAAGACATAAGGGTTTATAAATTTGTACAAACTACTTACAATGTAAGACATCTTCTCTTTACAGCGTTAACTGACGACTGTTGCTGGTTCTCGAGATGGTTTCGTTTATATAGTCCAGTTTTGGGCGTGAATCTTTCTTCAGATCAACGGATTTCAAGACGACCGCCAAAACGTAAAGGTTCTTTAATCACCTTCAAAAAACGCCCCGGATCGACCGGCCCGGAATCCGGATCATCTCATTTCATAAACAACCACGGACGATTTCGACGCGCTACTTAAGTACAAGAAAGTATAACACGTGTTAGATTAGAACTTCATCAAACGCTATTCGTAAATTACGTCATTACGTTATGTACGTTCAAAAAGGTACAAAATTATTAAGTTTTACCGTTTTGGATGACCAGGTGATAATCTATTTTTCTCTTCCTCATCATAATCCAAAGACTTAATAAACATATTAACAGTTTTAAAAGCCAAAGTCTGTGGTATTTGAGAAGATTTATATGGTACATACGAACGATGATATAAGCAATTGTCCAAAACTGGAACCATCTTGTTTACAAATGCAATCATCAAGGCAGATGGAGATTTAAATATTCACAATGTTTAGTTATTTTCTTTAATGTTTTTATATGAACTTTTCCTTATTGCATTGGACTTTCCCCATTGAAACGATTACAACCTACATAAATCTGTTTGGTAGATGGAGTAATCGATATTCCTCCATCTACCTGTTCCCTATAAAAAACTAACCTAAATTGGGGTCGATGGGGTATTTATAAAATTTCCGCCTTCGGCCCAAGTCAAACACACAACCTGAGAGGCGATGGAGAAGCTACTTCGCCATCAGCCCCTCCCCATTCACACCAATAAATACATTCACTCATATAAGACACAAACATAAAATACGGCCTGGGTCCACATACTATCTGCGCGGTCAATGCGAGGTTTCTTGACCAGAATCCGATGCTCCGGGTACGATTGACACCGTGCACACCTTCCGCGGCCGCCGCCGCCGGGCTCTGATTTCGTTCTCTTGAGAGAGTCCCGCTTTTATCCTTCCGGATAAAGCGTACTGCTCGTTAATGGTCCTCCTTTCGCTAGTTTACTGTGGAAGAGGGTTTGTTTGTCTTTCGTCCCTATCTTTCTTATCAACCGCCCGGACGTACGGACGGTCGGTCGGACGGACGGGGCAACGACATTCTCTACGCTTTTCTTGGACGGCCTGGGTCCACATACTATCTGCGCGGTCAATGCGAGATTTCGTGACCAGAATCCGATATTCCGGGTACAGATTGACACCGTGCTCACCTTCCGCGGCCTCCGCCGCCGCCGCCGCCTAGCTCTGATTTCGTCCTCTTGAGAGAGTCCCGCTTTTATCCTTCCGGATAAAGCGTACTGCTCGTTAATGGTCCATCCGCAGGTTCATCTACGGAAACTTTGTTACGACTTTTACTTCTTCTAAATGATCAAGTTTGGTCATCTTTCCAGCGTTCGACAAAACCGACAAAGTCGGTTGGGCTTACCGCCAGTCCGAAGACCTCACTAAATCATTCAATCGGTAGTAGCGACGGGCGGTGTGTACAAAGGGCAGGGACGTAATCAACGCGAGCCTATGACTCGCGCTTACTGGGAATTCCTCGTTCATGGGAAACAATTGCAAGCCCCAATTCCTAGCACGAAGGAGGTTCAGCGGGTTACCCGGACCTTTCGGCCAAGGGAACGCACACGCTGATTCCTTCAGTGTAGCGCGCGTGCGGCCCAGGACATCTAAGGGCATCACAGACCTGTTACTGCTCAATCTCGAGCGGCTAGAATCCGCCTGTCCCCTTAAGAAGAATATTGTTCGCCGGTAGATTCGATACCAAACGCGTCTAGTTAATAGGCTTGAGTCTCGTTCGTTATCGGAATTAACCAGACAAATCGATCCACCAACTAAGAACAGCCATGCACCATACCCACTGATTCAAGAAAGTGCTATCAATCTGTCAATCATTCCAATGTCCTGACCTGGTGAGGTTTCCCGTGTTGAGTCAAATTAAGCCGCAGGCTCCACTTCTTGTGGTGCACGCACTGAAACTTGTCCTAGAACTCTTATTAAATCTGGTGGCATGCCTACTAGTGCCCTGTAAAGAGCCAAGGCACGCTTCGACTATGTGGGACACGTCGAGCAACCTTTCTCTACATAGGGGACACCTGCGGGGGATTGGCCCATGTGTCAATCGCATATGGCCTATTCTTAGTCTGGCACAAACTATCCCTTCTTCACGGCTCCCTTTTACATAATATAACATATGTAATTCAATTTTTGATAATTATTTAATGTTAACTTATTTTAGGTATAATATGATTAAGAAACTCCTGTAATCAAAAAGGGAACATATTTAAATAAACGGTGTGAAAAAAATGAAAAATCGTTTCGAAATTTTGTAAAAAATAGACAAATACTGAATGGCCTTACATGGCCTTTTACATATAAAATATGTAATTCCAGTTTTGATAATTAATAATTAATAAATTATTGTTATGATAAAATTTAAAAGCCGTTTCGATTTTTTTTAATATACAGATTTTTTTTTATTTCTGATCCATCTCATTTTAATTTTGATGAAATAAATTTAATAAATATATAAACCTACGCAGTCATCAAGACAGATGGGGATTTAATTTAATTCGCAATGCAACATCGATATGCTATATGTATTTGACAGTTTTCGAAAATTTATCTTATGTGTCAAAACGGAAAATTTAATTTAATGTACGATTTTTATTGTAAAATCTTCTGTAAATAAAATTATTATTATGAATCGGTTAAAAGTTAAACTAATTTGTTAAAATAGATAAAACAAATCTTCAACAATACTATTAAAATGAACGTAATTTATCTGAATAAAAATTTCCTATTTCTTCTAAAATATAGCAATTAATAGTCGCTCCCGAGATATAAATTTAAAAAAAATATGTTCTAGAAAAAAAATTATGGACTTATTAAGTACATTTGTTATTGAAAATATTAATGCCAATAATGTTAGCAGATCGCAATCGGTACGATAAACTATGAAACATTGTTGAAAACGAATTCAAAATTTAATCTTTAGAAAGGATTAGTAGAAATGCACTGTTTTACTTATTCATAAAGAATTAAAATTGCTTTTAAGTTCTAATCCTCCATAGCAGTCTTGCACTGGAACAGATAAGTCGGATATTAAAGGGATTTTCCATAACGTTTACGCTATTTCAAGGTCACCGTTATATTTAACATCTGCTAGCAAAACACTCTGTTTGCACAACGAAGGGTATACATGCACGTCTGCTGTTTGTATTCCAATATTAAATTGCTGGACTAGCCATTTTAATGAAATAGTGCCTGACTCGATTTGATAATATAAAATGAGAACAAATGACCTTTTATTTTAAAGTCTATCCAATTAGTGTATCGTTCGCGTAGTTCAAAACGCTAAACATTTAACATATTTAAAGAGCAAAGGCTGATGTAATTTTTGTTTTGTCTTCACGTTTTAAAAATTTACTCCAAATCTCTAAGTCAAACGGAACGAATTTTATTCCCTACAAGGTGAAAACATATTGAACTAATGTCTATATTTCGGATTGAATTTTATTTTAGTTAAATTACAGGCAAATAATAGTCCAATTTAACTTTATTGGTGAAAATACTTTTTTCATTAGAGAGATTTTTCATCACCCTTCCGCTACTTCAAGGTTTATTTGAAGATTTTTTTGCATAACGGAATTCGCGCTAACGCTAAGTTTCCTGGGGGAGTTGTAATAGTTCAGGCTATAGTCGTATCTCACAAGTTAGCAAACAAAGGCACCGTTTATGTTATGGATTTTCTCTTGATTGCTGACGATAGTTTGGAAAATGCTGAAGACTTAAATGTAGTAGAACCTATAACGTAAAAAGTAAAAACTAACTACCGGAAGATTCTAGGCATGTTTAAATGAAATTGAGGAAAGTGTCAAAAACTCTTAAGAAAAACAAGCTTTTGAATTAGTTTAGCAAGTTTAGGAAAAACGAAAATATTACAGTGCAGTTAGTGACCAATATACAGACTCATTACAATCACATTCTATACCTGCCTCTTAGAATTTTAGATTTTAAATTGTGTTAAGGCGCTACAGCCAAAGGGTCTGTTTTACACAATTTCCTGCTTGCACGTAAATAAAACAATTAAATATTTTAGTGTCGCAACATCAAATGTACACAAATTCTTAAGAGTCGGGATTGAAAAAATGTAGGATTTGTAAAATGTTAACTATAAAAATAAACAATTTATTATACTTCTAAATAAAAGATATTTTTTTAAAGTTGGACAGTATTTCCAACAAAAAACTACTTTGTTGACTTTACCGTCACCCGTTAAAAAGCACTTTATTCTAACACAAATAACGTGGGACGCTATTTCTGTTAGTTCAATCTGCGCATGCGCACTTGGGTCACTTTAACGTTACCGTCACCCGTTAAAAAGCACTTTATTCTAACACAAATAACGTGGGACGCTATTTCTGTTAGTTCAGTCTGCGCATGCGCACTTTGGTCACTTTAACGTTACCGTTCACGCTAACGTTATGTTAAATGTGTGGTGTTTAGTAACCGTTAGTTAATGATTATTAGGAGATCGTGAAATGCGGTTTTAGAAAAACATTTTCTTTATCGTGCCAACGTTTCGATCTTTATTGAGATCATCATCAGGGTTCAAATATTTATTTTCCGTGTAGATGTGTCATTCTTGTCTATCGTGTACTCTCTACACTAATCATTCTAAAACCTACGTCACACCAGACCGCATCGACTCTGAATAATAGTTATGTTAAAACTTCCTATTAAGTGTCATTCATTTGTGATTAAAGATCTTGTCATTGTCCTCTGCACTTGATAGGCCACATACCTATGTGAAAGGCATGTCTTTTTCAACCGTACCTCGAGCATCTCCCTCCCGTGGCGTGGCTTATAGGTCACTTCGTCGTCTCCTGATCACGTCTTATGAGGGATAACAGCTTTAGCATCGAGGAAGTGATGCTTTAGTACTCTTTCTTTTGCTCTTGTTTAGCTGAGAGTATTGTCTGGGACAGCTTGTAGTTGACGAATGTCAAGAGAGTATGAGAGTTATCCTTACGCAGAATGCTCATCTTCCATCAAAAGAT